ACTTCGGCGTCTGCCTTTCACGATTATCATGATAATTGATCGAGATATCAGCACAACCTCGAAGCCTGTACCTTGAGCTTGATGACACGGTGCGCACTTCACCATTACGGACACCTCCGCCTTTACCTCACCATCTCCATCTCCATTTCCAAGTTGAGAAGGGTTTTTGGTGCCAGGCTACTTTCAGTGGGTCCCGAACTCCCTCAGGGGTGTTACAGGTTAGCAGACAAGGTCTCCATGTATCAAGAGCCGCGTCCCAGACCTGGCCAGACTGGTGGGTGTGGTGGTGCTGAAGCATGCGGTGGGGAGAAGAAACACTTCGGAGGGCGTGTCGGGGTTAGGACTTGAGTCTCTCCTGAGCCCCTTGTTCCCCCTCAATCTTCCCCTCTTGGGCGCCCAGTGCCCCCCATCTTTGGGCTAATAAGACCCGTCATAAGATCTCCGCGTCTCCGCGTCGTGAGTGTTCGAATGCATGAAATGGAACTTACAGGCGCTAATTATAGCGTAGTTTAAACGATGTAATGATAAACAAGGAGAATGTGGCAAAGGACTTTCATGAGAGTCCCCGCCCCCTGTGTGAGAAAAGCAAGAAGTGAATGGGGAGTAAGGAGTTTCTGTGCCTGCTTGGCAGAAACGAGTTCTATCCAGCGGATCCGCAGCACCAACCACACGTTGGGGAGCACCACTGACATCTCTGGGCTGACATCGCACCGCATGTTCCAAGGAGGCGGTCTTCGAGTTATTTTGGAATTCGGTGGCCTGCTGAGGGACTTCGGCGGGTTCCAGGAGCCACGAGCCTTTCGTCGACTCATCACAACACCCCTCTGAAGCAAATTGTGTTCCCACTCTTCGACTAGGAACATTTTCCATGGAATCTCCAAAGTGTCGTGCAGCTATTAGCTTGAGTGAAAGCGTATGACAACGTACAGCAGATCAATTAGTTGCATTGGGTGTTTATGGATAAAAGCCTGAGATGCAGCTATGTCCAAAAGGGTATCGCGAAGGAGGGGACTCGACATTTCCATAGCTTCTTGGACGTGATCTTTCTTTCTGTTCTTCAACCCCCCTTTTGCACTTCGAAGAGAAAGCATCCGATTAAGTTTAATAGTAAGGATTACAAAGTAAGAGTAAGGGATACGTGGTCTCATGGCTAGCCGTCATTTACTCGTTCGGGAAGGGTTTCACAGCGTAGACTTGGATCTAAACCTCACCGCCTACGCTAATGGTACGAGCGGCACGATTCCTAACAATGCAGCCTACTGCCAATAAGGCAACCAGTGCAGGACTACTCGAGCCTAGTTGCTTCGAAGGAAGCAACACGCAAGGCAGCTCGAGGATGTCGTGGGAAATCGGTGATGGTGAGTGCACGATCTAAGAACGCGGTATGGTAGCATCCCACCTCCATTACTTTAGTCCAAGAAATCAAGCCAAGAACTTGAAACCGAAAGCAACTTGGATCGGGGGTTCAATGGAGTCGTCCTTCGCCTTTAGGCCCTCAGCAAACGTTCCGGACCATCCATCCAATGTGCGACGGTCCCTCGGGACTTCGAGACCATCAGGCCGCGCCGTTTCCTGCCCCCTTCGGCAAGCACCAGGGTGCCGAGTCTCGTCGGCAAATTGCTTGTTCCAAAACGTCGAATTACTTGTCGTCTGTTGCCAGTCTTGTGATCTCCTTCTCGGATTTGATGAGCCATTATTTTTTTTCTTTTCTTTTTCTTTTTCTTTTATTGCTTCTGCCGTGGGACGTGATTCTCGGCAGTCTGTGCACTAGTATGCGTACGGAGCAAAAGTACGGAGCATTCACTCAGTTGGTGATTAGTCGGTTTCCACTTACCATTTGCCTTGCCCCATAGAAGCCATGGAAGATCTCGACGAAGGAGATGATTCGGCGTGGAGTCTCCATCAATGTATCCACCTATCCACGCCCAGGCACACACTCCCACTCACGAGGAGTCCGACCAATATAACGTCTCGTAACAATATCGTCACGCTACGACCTGCATCCATCTTTCCTTTGGCTTGCAAAGTCGGGAGAGCACGAAGAATACTACGTAAACTTACACTGCTCCGTACTTGGTAGGAATCCTTAGGAAGAGCAACAAGACACTAGTGCGGCCAAATTTAGGACCTCGCCTTTTGATTCACGTCACAATTGCCCCACGCCCAGACTGCCTTTGTCCAGTGGATTGGATCGAATTACCGTGGTTTCCGGCTGACCTCTAACCGCTGACTTCCGCCTTCCATGCTTCCTCTCTCATGACCTCCATTCTGTCGGTGCCTTCCACGTCCTCGTGCATCCCTTGTACCTTTGTAGAGTAGTAGCCGATGTTGAACAGCCGTAACCCCATTCTCAACGTCGTAAATGTGCGTGTGCGGACTCTGTGGAGGATCAATCCAACGGGGCTACCGTGTCCAAAACGGAGAACCACCCCTAAATCGACACTCACCTTCAAAAGCAAACGCCAGTCTTTGGCTTGTACTACTTCCCGCTAGCCTGTCCGGGACTATCGCATATTATCACATTGAAGAGAAAGACTGTCGTTATTACTCATGTGTAGTAGCACTCATCGACCTTTCATCAAAACAGAGGCTTTGAAGCGATCACCGAGCCTGGTAGCCGAGCGATCTACAAAACAAAAGGTATCATTCTCTACTTGTACCAGACCCGATATAAACCCGTAGTCCTCGACGCGTGTTTCTTTTCCTTGAATTTCCTATCCATTGCAACATCGGAACTGTCCCGAAACCTTGACGAGAGTTTTGGGTGTGGTAGGCGCAACACTAGTGAGGCGTACCTCTTGTCATCTCTTCCTTTTTAGACTCCGCCCTACTCCGTACGGCAGACCCTTGTTAGTGGCTGCCAGTCCAGCCTGCCACTGCCGTCGTGCATCGACCATATCGTGCGATTTCGTATATCGTGCGATTTCTCTCTGACCCGAGCCCGGCTCGACTGTTTGGCAGGAGCCTTGGCATTTTTGGAACGAGCGAAGAAGCTTCATTCCTTCCCCGGCCTGAGCTCTGTTTCCCCGTCACCAGGTCTCCAGGCCAGGCGTCTGCGCAAGCTTCAGCTCAAGCCTAGTGTTTAGCCCCGAAGCATCCCTTCGAAGCGCCCTCGCAGACTTCGCCACAACAATTCGGGGGACCCATATGATCCATATCTGGGACTACACTACATTACGCTAGAAGTCACCATACCTTGCAAACGACAAGCCACGCCAGAAGCACGCTTTTTATTCTAGGGCGCTAGGCGGATTCCATGGCTCTCCACCCAACGAATGGGTGTTCACAGCAGCGTGGGTTCCCTTCCCCATATCGCATGAAGTTTACGTCAATCTACTTGGAAGTTCTGCCAGGGCGGGACATTGCACAGACTAAAGACGTTCAGCCCGCAGTTGTACGGTTTCTCGGCAGGCGTTGACACCCAGACTAAGAAGCCAGACATCTCGGTGAGCTGTTTGCATCCTGCACCTTCGCCATTTCCGTCCGCCCCTCGACCGCCCCAATGACCGTGGGGCTACGCATGCATTCCGCGATAGTGTACGTACCAAGGCCCTTTACAAGTACACAACGAAGTAGTTTAATACCTGCCCTGCTGGAACTTGTTCAGCCAGGCGAACAATAGTCCCGGTTTGTCACTCGGGAGGCGGCATTATTAATCGCCGTGGAGAGTGACAATTGGATCTCCAATTGAGTACAAACATACAAGTTAATACTCCCCGAGGCAAAACCATCAGTCCACCGAGTTAGCACCGGTGTACGTGAGTACTGGTACACGCCCTCTTTTTACGAGCCAAGAAAACGACGCCCGCCAGTGTACCGAGTACTATGAAGTAAGCTGGACAGCCCATGGTGGGCATCTGGTGCGGCATGTTAGCCTGTGGCACCCATCCCACCGCTCCCTGCCTAAGGTGAGGCATTCGCACTAAATTCTAACACACTTGCACTGGTTGGGCCGACGCCAAACCTGGTCCTGTCGGGCGAAAAGCTTCGAATTGGGGACAATAAATCGTATTAGCACTGGGGGCCTTGTTTCCATCTTAAGTCAATTTAATCGTAATTCAAGGGGTACTGGTACAGTTCAAAGTACCTCAGTACAGTTCAGTTGTACACTGCCCACAAGTTCACAACCATGAGTGGTTTCCGCCGCCTACTAGTGGCCTTTGGCGGTCGAGCCGAGAACCCTTGTCAAGACCGGACAGACATGCCGCAGGCGGAAGGCGACCAGCGGTGCAAGTGTCAGTGTGAGCGACAGTGCCGCCGAGTCCACCACCAGCGCCACGACCATCTCTGCCACCTCTGCCACTGCCAGAGCCTGGCACAGGACACAGACACCGTCCCAGCGTCACCAAATTCAAATTCAAAACCGAAACCAAAACCAGCACGAGTCGCACCAGCAGTCATCAACCTCGCCTGCTGCTCCACCTCCACCGTCCGCCTCCAAGATCCCCCTCCACTTTGCCCTTGACCTCCAAGTCTACTTGTACATCCTCCTCCGCCTCTCACTACATTTACCTCGTTTACCGCCATCCCCCTGCCCGCTCCAGGTCTCAGCATTTCTAGCCCATTTAACCCGGCCGCATCTGATAATAATTCGCATAACTCGAATTATCGTGCATCTGCACAAGACGCCTTCTTTTCTCCCGGCGACGATAACTCGATCCCTCTCGCGACATCCTCGACTACATTCATTGCCCGCATCCAGCCTGCCGCCGGGTCTTGTCTCCCACGTAATCCCATCCGCCACTTGCCTGAGTCGCCTGCATCTGTCATCGCGACCCCAGATTCACATTCTCCTCACCAACCCTCAACTCCTCCCAATAATTTCCCCGACCAGCGACACCGCATCTTCTCTGGTGCAGCGACATCTCAGCCTGTAGACATCGCCACCGCCCCCGTCGTCGCGAAACTCGCTGCACGCCGACGATCGATTTTACGATAAAAAAACTCGTGCGTCATCGACGACGACGACAATCCGCCAAGACCACCGCCTCATGGTCGATATGACCACCGGTCCTTTCCTCGACTCGGCCGCCGGCCGCGCTCGCAAAGACTCCTTTGTGAGCGCGGGCCCTAAGCCCATTTCCATGACCAATCCGAATCGCGATCAAGCTCGTCAACGCCGAGAGTCCCTTGCTGGAAGTTTAATGGGGAGGAGTTTCGGCGGCATGTCCGTCGGAAGCTTTGTTCGAGATGAGTATGTTGCCCTTCTTCTTTCGTCACCCGCTTCTGCATCCCCGTAGCCCCGTACTTCCCAAGTGTTGGTTCCCTCTCACGTCACTACTCCCCCGAGGGTTCGCTGGCCATCGAAGTCATGCTCTCAGAGAATTCTCGTAATTATAATATTCCCTACCTTGCCATCTACCCTCTGCCCCCTGCGGAGAGCGTAGCAGTCTGTCATTTGTGGCGCCACTTGTCGTTCCTTCCTCGCAATATCTAACCGCGATAACTAACCCATACATTGTGACTGTAGCATCCTCATGGCGGGCACTTCGCCTTACGGCTACCAGCAGTCCCCTTCATTCCAGTCGTCGTCTTACCTTCCCAAGCTAGAGGCAAACTTTATGCGGGACTTCACCTGCTGCAACAAGACTCTCCCAAACCTCCACGACTTATTACAGCATTACGAGGAAGCCCATGCTCAGGAACCGAACCATCCGTCTGCAAAAACTCCTAACCTCTTCCAGTACGCCCCCGTCACAGGCTATGCGGCCCCCAATAACTTCGGCCAGCCATCGATAACATCGCCTCTCGGCGCTCCCGCATCCCTTGCGCAACAGGCTCGCCAGCCCTTGAACCTGGGCGGCACTATGCCGACTGCAGGTCTTCAGATTTCACAGCACGGTCTCTCCAACGTGAATACGCAGTCTTCGCACCTTAACGACGAAATGGACACCGTTGGCGACATGGAAATGGACGATGCCGTTGGTCCCCTCGAGATGGACGACAGCCAACAGCGCATGCAGCAGACTCGACAACTTTTCGGCCAGACTGGCCGGCCTCAACTGCACATCAATGCCTCTGGCTTCACTCAGGCCCTCAGGACTTCTCAGCCCACGACCCCAGCCGCCGCCAGTTTCGGATTCCAGCACAACCCGACGGTATCCTCGGTCAACACCCCTACGCTTACAACTCAGCAAGGTATCCCCTCAAGGAGCACGCCATACAACCAGTCTCCTTCGGTAGAAAGCGATGACCTAAGCCTACAACTGGGTGGCAACATCAACCTCAACAACAACGATTTCGGCCTCGGCAACGGAGGGACGAACACTACTTCGAATGACTCAGCGTTCTGCATTAATGATCCCGGCAAGAGTCTGTTCAGCCCGAACGGCGCTGCGACGAATCACCAGCGGGCGCTCCAGCAACAACTCGCTCAGCTGGTTCTGGAGCAGAACCATCCTTTGACGAACAAGGAGTTGATTGAGAGATTTGGTCCCCTCCTTATGCAACAGGAGGAAGCAAAGCCCTTCCGATGCCCCGTTATCGGCTGCGAGAAGGCGTACAAGAATCAGAACGGTCTCAAGTAAGTGAATTATTTGTTTCCCAGCTGACGAGGCAAGTCTGGTGCTTGTGGTATGGTACGGTGCTTACAAAAAATGCTACAGATATCATAAAGCTCATGGACACGCGAACCAACAATTGCACGAGAACGAAGACGGCACTTTCTCCATTGTCGACCCAGACACGTGTATACCATACCCGGGTACTCTTGGCATGGAGAAAGAGAAGCCCTACTCATGTGAGGTCTGCAATAAGCGATACAAGAACCTCAACGGCCTCAAATATGTAAGTCACTCCGCCACACTGTGCATTCCACGTAGATGGACCGCATTTGGACCTCGGCCTTTCTGACGTATGAGATGCAGCATAAAAACCACTCCCTGTACTGCAACCCGGAGCTATCCTCGCAACTCCTTGCTGCTCACCTTCAGCAGATGCCCGAGCTAGCGGCAACGTTGCAGTCTCCCTCGCCGGCGCCTCGTCAATAACCACATGCAACGACCATGGACGGGGATAGTCACCAAGCCTACCCTCGTCGCTCGCCCTTTTCTCTAACATATTTTTAATATCGAGTATTCGATGCATGTGTATATCCTCCCCGCTGGTCCGGAGCCGGGGCACCCCTCGGCCCCAACATTGACGGGCGGCGGATACCGACCATGGTACTGACCACCACCACAGCGGTGCCGGCAGCGCCAACCATTCAGTATTGGAACTTGAAGCATCATCTGGCGCATACCCTGTTTTCGTTTCTTTTGTCATGCCCCCCCTAAAAGTTTGGTTTTCTTTGATGATAGGCACAGCCTGAAGGCGGAAAGTTTGAGTTCTCGGTTCATTGAGCGCAAGCCTCACTCTTAATACCTCGTTATACCCCCCACCCCCTTCCATAGACAGGATTTGGCACAACCTCTCAGAACAAAACGCGCAGTTTCGTCGTCCATTTTTTTTTCTTTTCTTCCTCTTCTTTTCTTATATCACCTTAGACCACTCTCCACACCCATGACTGCATCTTGTCTCCGGCACCTTGTTTAGGTGCCTTGATTTCCTTATTTCAAGTGTTTATGTCTCTTTATTTATTTTATTTATTCCATTTTTGGTTCCTTTTCATGCAAGAAAAAAAAAAGGTGGATGACCCCCTTGTTTACGAAGAAGTGAGGGAAAAAAAGGGAAAGCGGACGGCGCGAAGAAACTGATGAAAAAAACGTGTTTCACAAAAATGAAGAACGGAAAAACGACCAAAACGGCATTAGAAAAACGCAGCAGCAACACGCAGAGTCACGGCCTTTGTTTTTGGGAGATATCTTGTTTCCTTTTTTCTTATTCTGGGGGTGGTCTCTCTCTCTTTTTTTTTTTTTTTTTTCCTGGTTTCTGTTTTCCATGTATACCATGTTCCATTCTATATCCTCTTTTGCCGAAACCTTCTCGGAGGAAAAGTCGAGCCGGCGCCGAACGTTCTCGGGGGCCTTTCTCTTTTCTTTCCGCGGGCGAAGGGGGGCGACACTTTTTTTTAGAAACGGTGGAGAGAGGGGGTTTCTTTTTTGCTTTTCTTTGCTTTTTTTGTTCTTTGGGTTTTCTAGACGGTTGTGGGTTAATTGATCGAGCTCGAGCTTCTTAAATTGGATAGCAAAATGGAATCACGGTGTTCCTCTTTTCCTTCTGTGCAAGGAGAGAGAATGCTCTATTTCACGTTTCAAGACGGCTACTTTCGTCTTTTTAGGTGCTTATGTGTGTGTCCTTGAACGGGAATATTTCCGTGGGCTTGGCGGAAACCTCGATTTCACACCCCCGTCCCGCATACTAGGACGAAGAGGTGAGGTATATAAGAAGGATGCCAATGAGGATCGAAGTGACGATGGTGGCTTGTTCCTGCGTGGGGGTTCATGCAAGTCTCATTCGATGTCATATAATCGAGTGCAACTGCTTAGAGATGAAGTCGGTCTCCCACAACGGTCTGGGCTAGAACGGGACTTCTTTAAGGTGAATCAACGAGTCCGCCGATCTAGAGTCTCTATTGAGCAAAAAAAGAAACAAGGGAAAAAAGGAAGGAAAGAAAAGCAAGCTATGATACATGCCTGACGAACCGTCAGGATAAGGGCGACGCAGCGAAGGAAAGACAAAACATCAGAGAGCCAGGACTTCGTTAATACATACACACATGCTTGATTGATTCGATTGTGAAAAGACAAGAAGGAAACATCAACAAAAAAAGAAAAGAAAAGAATATCCACTAAAACGTCCCTTCCGCCACCGACTCCGTTTTTCCTGTCCCTTCGTTTCTGATGTTCGTGTAAATTCATGCATTTCGATAATTCATGGCGTGGCGGTTGTGCGTGAAAAAAAGTCTTCTCCAAGGCTGTGCAAATGAAGAGGGTGTTTGGAAAGTCAAAAAGTACGTATGAAGTGTAAGAGGTATGAAAGCCAAAAAAAGAAAAAAGAAAAAAAGGAGTGTGTGTGTGAAGAGGACGTGATAACCTCAGTAAATGTGGAAAAGTAGAGACTGTGGAGCAGGGAGAGTAGGTGGGTATCGTGATCGTTCTCCGATCTTCAGCATCAATTCATCTCCATGCCATCATCATCTTCCAACTCCGACTCCATCAATTGCGTCTGTTGACTGCTCACACTCGCCTTACGAGCCCGCAGGGAGTTGGGATCACCGAATCCGGCGCCTTTCAGCCCCTCGACAAACTCGAGTTCCTCACCCCCGACCACACGGCCCTCCATGTCGACCTCTTGGGAGAGCTCGACAAGGGCCGTTCTGGGGAGATGCAAGAAACCTGCGGTGCGGACGATGCGTCCCCAATGAGTCAAACAGAATGATGCGGCGCGCTTCCGTAGCCACTCCTCGTTGGCGAGCCCGGCGCAATACCAGGTGACGCAGGCGTGATCCACGTCTAGTTCCTTGGATAGCCTATTCACACACAGTAGACGCAGGTGAGGGATGCCATAAATGTTGGACATCACTAGCAGACCGGCTACATCCGACAGGTTCGTAACCGCTCCGCTTTCCTCGTCCGTGGTCCCGTGAATGCTGTCCGTGTATAAGTAAAGGATGAACGCCTTTACTACACTGTAAGGTTCGGGGATGTGCATCTTCTTCGTATGGAACTCGGCCATTTGGGAATTGTATAGTCGCGCGAAATGGGGCCAACGGGCTTGAAGGATTAATTTATGAACGTATATGGGCTCCGATGTAGGCGCGTCTGGTGAAAGCCAGTTCTCGCCGGAGCCGACATCGCCCGCGTGAGCGAGGCTCGTCGAAAATATATCGTGTTCCTGGATATCGCCGGCGAGTGCCGTGATGATAAAATCAGTACCGCTGCCACTCTCTGGAGGCTGATTAAAAAGCTTCGCAAGATCTGCGCCGAGACCACGAGAAGGTTGATCTACAACTCGCGCAACGGAGCGCCGCGTCTCGTGTCTGGGGTCCGGGGCAGCACTATTTCCCAAGAAGCCGTAGCGACGAAGATCGATTTCCATAATATCACTATGAGGTGTGTAAGAAACGTGTTGGGAATCTGTGACAGCCACCAAGCCTCGTCATCGATGGGGGTGTCTTACCTTAGATACTCCTCGTACCCATTAGGTCCAAGGTCATTTAGAGCGGGTTCCGTAGGGCAGCCAAGGAGCCACGCCTTCGTACCCTCCTCATTCATAGTGCAATAATGCCACCTATAGCCTGTCTTGAAAACCTCTTGACCCTCGGCGAGCTTCTGCCAGCGAAGGGTTCCGAGGTCCAACGCAGACAGAGAACAAAGGTTGGATGTGATTGTGGCAGCTGGAGTCTGGAAATCTAGCAACGTTCCCGAGGAGTAGACATGGAAGTGATAACCTTGGCCTTGCGATGGGATATTCGCACCCGAGATGAACTTGAGAGAGGATATAGCCCCAGGCGCCATGGGTGAGTAGGATTGTAGTTGGAACGAAGGAGGGTTAACCTGCGCAGTCCGGGAGTTGGCAGCATAACCAGAAGTTCCAACGACAGCCGGTTGCGAATACGGCGTTCGTGGAGACCCAATAGCCCGACTTGAGACAGAATGGCGGTCAAAAGTACCGATTTGAGGCGAGGACTCAAACGCTGGGTTCCCTTTCAAATCGAGCCAGTACAGTTCACCAACTTTATCCATGTCTTGACTTAGCCCCCCGAAGATCCACACCCTCTCGCCCCAGATGTAAGCGGAATGATCGAATCTTGCCACGAATCTCCAAGAACGAGACCACGTATAGGTCTTGAGATCAAGAAAGCAGATATCGTCAAGAACATAGTTATCGCGACCGGTTATACCACCGATGACAAAGAGCTTGTCCTCGTGAAGGACAGCAGCATGGCGTGCGCGGCCCTTAGGAATGTGACCAGAAACCTGAGGCTTTGTCCAGTGCGCGGTCTCGAGGTCGAAAATTATAAGGTCCGAGAGGTAAGCACGGTGCTCATTCTCGCCGCCGAATACAAGGAGTTTGTCGCCCTGGTACAACGTTGCGGTATGCCCTATGCAACATCTCGGTCTTAGTGCGAGTCCAGCAGAGGTATAATAAAGATACAACCGATAATAAATGTGAAAGAAGAGAAGCAGTTCGACTTACCCATGCGGACGCCCGGAATATCCCCAAAGTTAGGAACAAGACTCCATTGGTTGGTGGTAAGGTCGAGTCGCAGGACGTGGTTGTAGACCTCGTCGGTGTATTGATCGAATCCGCCAAAGGCGTAAATCTGATTGTTGCCGCAGTGTGTGACCGACGCATTGACAAGGCACGCCGGGCGATTACCCAGAGTACGAGTCACTCGAGGCCTGTAGCCATCCGTGATGCCCAGCTTCTTCAGGGGAGAATTCGGCATGATGTAAGTGTTGTTCGACGCTACGGAATTCGGTGTTCCGCTGCTGTTGGTAACGGCACTAGACGCAACAACGAGCTCGTTTCCGGTCGAGACAGAGGAGCCGGGATGTGAACTCTGGGAGGCAAGGGAGGAGATTCCGAAAAGGGACGCATTCGGCCCAGGGGTCGATGGCTCGGCCATGGTACCAGCTAACACCACAGTCAAGCTGGTCTACGTTATAGAACCATATTCCAGACGCGGTCACGAAGAGAGCTTGGATGCAGACTTAGAATTAGGTCCCTGAGTTTTGGAAGGCGGAGAGGGAGAAGACGGAAATTTGTGTGGAGTAAAAGTCAAAGTCATGCAACGCAGGCTCAACCCGCCATTTGAGACCATGCAGTGACCATTTGGCATGCGCTGAGGATATGACAATGGATGGAGGGACCAAGCCTCACGGATTTGCACAGGGAGAGAGCGAAAGTGGCGTTTAAAGTTGCAGGATGAAGTGTTTTGAATGCGCTTATTGGCTCCTTCCCCCTGCGCTGAGTGGGTCTCGAGAAAAGTAAGGAGCAGAATCCGATAATTAGCCGGCGTTGCACGTGAGGTGGAAGCGAAGGAGCAACCGTTGTCTGCTGGTTGCTGGGTTAGCTATGGTGGGGCATCAAAGTAAATAAAAGGAGCTGGAAGCCCTCGAGCTATTCAACCTCTCTCTCTCCCTTTCTCCATCAGAACACTCTACATCCCGCTTCCTCTCACACATCCTTCTCTTCCCGCTCTCCCCTAAGCTTGAAGCTTGTCACACATCTTCAAATCCAAAAAGTCTTTCTCAGAACGATTAAAAAGTCCATTAGATCTCTCCGCTGTTCATCGGCCGCTTGATCGCCCCACCGACTTCGAGGTCATTCTGCGCGAAGACTACCTCTTTCGACATATCGAACAGAAACTGACGACGATAGATACTAACCCAAAAATAACTTCCAGGAACCATTAACTTGAGTCTCTTGGAGCTCGTTCGATACTTCGGAGCTCTCAACCTCAAATTCACATCGCTGTCATCCCTCCATAGAGACGACTGACTTACACGATCCATTTGGAGATACCTGCACAGCGTTACCACATCGATTTATTAAGATGGCTACTGCAGCTGTTTCAACACCCGTCAAGTCCCACACTGGACTCTTTTCTTCTCGTACCGCTGGCGGACGCATGCCTCTCACCCCGTCCCCTCGGCAACGAACCTCCACGGCAGTCGACTCCTCCCCCTTCACCCCCGATAAGCAATCCAAGTCCATCTACAATGGCAATCTTGCGTCTCACTTTGCGAGGTCCAGCACCCATCGCGACTCGCCCAAGTCCAACATCGCCAGGGGAGTGAGCACTCCTCGCAAGGCTCTCGAGCTCGGCGTGTCTGATTTCGCCCTGACCGGAACCGGACTCGCCAAAACCCCTTCTAGTGCTAAGTCCAAGAAGGGAAGCCTAAGGCACAAGGCGAACAAGACGACCTTGACCTATGCTGCCGACAGGTTCATTCCCAACCGCGGTGCCAGCTCGGCGATCGCCAACGTTGGTTCTAGCAAACTTGACTTCGGCGAGAACAAGAGGCCCAAGAGCAACGGCAACGAGGGTTCATCCGTCCTTGCTTCTGCCACAGATGATGCCATCTCTGCCCTAGAGGGCCTATCCCTCAACGATGATGAGACCACCAGCTACTCTCGTCCTTCTCCCAACACTGTTGCCTACCAAGACTCCCTCGCCAACGCATGCGGTGTGAACCTCAATACCCGTATCCTCCAGTTCAAGCCAGCCCCCCCCGAGTCCTCTAAGCCCATTGACCTTCGCCAGCAGTACAACCGCCCTCTTAAGCCTGCCAATAGCTCTGCTCAGCTAAGGAGGCGCATTGCCACTGCTCCCGAGCGTGTCCTTGACGCTCCTGGTCTTATTGACGACTACTACCTCAATCTCCTTGACTGGAGCTCGGGCAACCAGGTTGCCATTGGTCTTGAACGCAACGTCTACGTTTGGTCGGCCGATGAGGGTAATGTTAGCTGCCTCCTTGAAACCAGCCCTGATACCTATATTAGCAGCGTCAAGTGGTCCGGTGATGGAGCTTATGTTGGCGTTGGTCTTGGAACCGGTGAGGTCCAGATCTGGGATGTCGCCGAGGGTATCAAGGTCCGAAGCATGTTTGGCCACGACACCCGTGTAGGCGTCATGGGCTGGAACAAGCACATCCTTTCCACTGGTGCCCGCAGTGGTCTTGTTTTCAACCACGACGTCCGCATTGCCGAGCACAAGGTTGCTGAGCTTGTTTCCCACACCTCCGAGGTCTGCGGCCTCGAGTGGAGGTCCGATGGTGCTCAGCTCGCTACTGGCGGCAACGACAACCTCGTCTCCATCTGGGATGCTCGATCCTTGGCTGTGCCCAAGTTCACCAAGACCAACCACAAGGCTGCCGTCAAGGCTCTGGCGTGGTGCCCCTGGAACATGAACCTCCTTGCCACCGGCGGCGGTTCATACGATCGCCACATTCACTTCTGGAACTCGACCTCGGGTGCCCGCGTCAACAGCATCGACACTGGCTCGCAAGTTACTAGCCTCCGATGGAGCCCCCATTATAGGGAGATTGTCAGCTCGAGCGGCTTCCCCGACAACTCCCTCAGCATCTGGAGCTACCCCACCCTGGTCCGCAATGTCGAGATCCCCGCTCACGAGAGCCGAGTCCTTCACAGCTGCCTCAGCCCTGACGGCCAGATGCTCGCCACTGCCGGTAAGTTTAAACCTGACATGACCATACTCCCCGGAACTCCAAAGAACATTGGAACTAACGAAGTAATAGCTGCCGACGAGAGCTTGAAGTTCTGGAAGATTTTCGAGAAGAAGGCCGGCGCCTCCTCCAGCTCTTCCTCCAGCGGATCCAGTGGCAAGGGCGAGATGACCAAGCAAATGTCCATCCGATAAACTCCACGATCATCAATCCATGATCACGTCCGGTAGGTATATCTCTTATTATTAAGGTACGGACAAATGGGATACCGGTCAGGGCAACGGTCGGGTTTTGATCTTCAGCGAGGCGTTGAGGAGTTCTTCCCGGCAAAGTCCAGAACGCAACAAGGACGGGGAACATTGTTTTGTTTTTGCTTTCCCTCCAAGATCGGGTTCCAGACAACGAACATAAATGGATTAGTTTGGTCATGAGTTTATGAGTATGATATCCAGGGAAGGACTTATTAAGTTGTACAAGCATCGATGATAGCATAGTTCACTCCAGAATGGACTGGGATTAATTAATACATGCATGGCCTTGATGGCCCACATGTGAACTTACAATTCACGGCGCCTATCAAGATGATAACATCTGTACGAGAATTACCGTTAAGAAGGTACAATAATTTTCTAGTTGAACAGTCATCAGGATGTTTAACTTGGAAATCGAAGGATGTCGATCGCTCCTGGAGTTTAGCGCAGGAGTCTAGGCGCTCTGGGGGCAAGTTCAAGCTCAGGATGACTAATCGGGCGCTGCATTCTGAGGTGATAGCCTTGTCGAAATCCAACAGACCCAGCGAACTCTCCCCACTACACACTCATAGGGCCAAACTCCACCATATCTCCCAAGCCGTCCATACTACACACTACGTCAAGACACACCCCGATTCTAAAGTCGCATCCCATTCCACGGTGACTACATTCCACCCAAGGCCAGTACGATTAAATACAACGGCTTGCAACACGCAGGATTCAATCCAGCCAGGGACGTGTGTGGCTTGGGAGCTCTCGACTTGGTAACCTTCAGATAGCAACAGAACACAACCCAGCGGTCACATTCCTCGACTGAAAGTGTGTGCGCCAGCGACGACAGCATACCTCGACGGAAGCTTTTCTCGCCTTGGACTCGCATCTCGTTCCTTCCCACCAACTTTCCCACTTGCCGCCCAACCACGCCTGGCGCCGCCTAAATAGCCCACATCCCGCCACCAACCTTGGTATCATCAGAAATCTATCGAAACGACCGTCGCAATGTCGAACACAGTGGTTGGAACGGTTTACGACCAAATAATCAAGGACGTCATTGAGAGCTCTCGAGTTGATTTCGAGGAGGGTGGCGTTGACGAGTCCGTTTTGGACGAGCTCCGAGATGTAGGTACTATTTCGTTAGTTTTTCTTACCCCTTCAACCTTCAGGAATGTGACCATGCCCGTCTGCCATCGCTTGGTCTAGATTGAGTTTCCTCTTGGAAAGTAAGAGTAGTTGTCTTGAGGGTCGATATATATGCGGGAGTGTGATCGCCTTGCAGCACGAATATTGAATATGGTGGTGAGGGCCGTCATCGCTCTGGGTCATCCTGGGCGGGTCGAGAACCACAGGAATTGGGGAGAACAAGGGGCTTGAGGGGGCGAGCCAGCATTATTTGGGTCTTTTTAAGCACAATTCCCCTCTCCCCCTCCTTGGTCCGGCTGCTGCCTGTTCCCACTCTTACTGCGTTTGATTGGTTCGCTTATTATGCCGCTTGCGGAACACACATTTTCTTCCTCAGGCTGTCACATTTCACTCTCACTCTCACCCTCGCTCACTTCATCAAGCCGCTTCTAAGACGAGGGGGCCCCGGTGTCATTTTGAATGCTCTCGATCGTATCTTGGTATACTAATCATGAATTTAATAGGGCTGGCAAAAGAAGCTTTCTCAACTCAGAGTTGCGGAATTCCCTTGGGATCCCAAGCCCGATGCAGTTGTCCCCCCTCCAGCTTCCCTCCCCAACGTTGGCAATGTCGCCTTCGCTCAACAACAACTAAGCCCTCAACCTGGCGCTCAAGCCTTACCCCTACCTGCTATTCCCGCTGCGGCGAATGGACAGCCTCTTCAAGGCGATGTCAAGATGGAGCCAGACATCAAGCAGGAGCCGGGTCTGCACCCCAACATGGTGCCTGGCATCCCCACGGATTCTCGAAGCGTCGCCGCCGCCCGTGCATCCCAAGCCCTCCAGAAGAACTACGGAAATAGGGCTACTAGTTCTATCAATGCTATACAGGCTGGGATGACGGCGCAGGCTCAAGGCCTCAATGGCCACAATGCCAATCCCCAGGGCTATCCGCAGAACCCGCCGGGACATCTGCCCATGCCCCAAACTGATGGAGCCGATGAGGCTCAAGTTGAAGGCGTCTTGATGAATCGGAATGCCGACGGCGAAATGGTCGAGATGGGGCGCTTCGATATCGACCGTATGCTGCATGAGCAGATAATGGCCAAGGCAAAGAGTATGGAAGGCGGAGGCTTCATGGTCCCCCTCCAAGAGGCCATCAAGCACCCGTCCAAGGTTCGAAGACAGAAGATGCCAGGCATTGCCCAGGTTGATGGAGAGGATGAGGATGACGAAGATGCGATAAACTCCGATCTCGATGACACTGACGATGACCGAGAGGACTCGGATGTGGATGATGATGGCCTTAGTCATATGATGCTCTGCATGTATGACAAGGTCCAGCGAGTCAGGAATAAGTGGTACGTTCCCTTTCTTGCCTTGATCAATATTGCAGACCCCATGATCGCATCCCCTTTTTTGAGTTGATTGAACTTTATGTGCTAATGATTCATACAGGAAGTGTACTCTCAAGGATGGTGTTCTTACTGTCAATGGCAAGGAATACCTTTTCCACAAGGCCACTGGCGAGTATGAGTGGTAGATGCAGATAAACCCACAAGAGCGCACTCTTCTACCTTCGTCGTTTGTTTCTCATCTTATCGGGTTTTCCCTTTTTTTGGTCCCTTATTTGAAACGGGTGTGGCCTTCTCCACGAGTTACACAAAAGGGAACGATGTATCCACGGATTCGGCTCTATGCCCCCCAGAAAGCGAAAGGAACGGATCTTTCTTTTTTCCAGTTTGCGGGCAACTACTGCCCGCGCTCTCTCGCCAATCTAACCGTCTCGGGGTCCATCGATGGGCCCGAAGAACTCGAGGCTGGGAAGAAGGATTGGGAGGAAGCATGTATGATATAACGAACACAACCAATGAATAGAACGGGAATTCGCGTTAGCAGATTCGGCCTGTAGTAGTACCCAGTAGCCTGGCACATACAACATAACGCATGATTGACATTGCCAAAAGAACATCGCTCTCTAAGTTCTCCTCCCCGTGGCTTTACCCCCCCCCCCCCTTTCACCCGGAAAAGACAGCATGGATGACACGGGAAAGAAACAACAAACGACCCCGGTATAGGATTTGTTTTTCACACAGAGGACAGAGGTTTACCCAGGGTCATGGCACCAAGAGCGGAGTGTCTGGTCCGCCTTCGGTACGATTCGGGCATCGCGAGTTACCAAGGACCTGCAGGTTAGACCCAATCGATGGGTGTGCGAAGCCAAATGAGAAGAAGCACACCTGACCCAAGCCTTCCGCACCTAACACGACTTTGCACTTATACGAATGCAGGGAGGAACAGGGAATCCTTGCGAGTTCACCACACCCACCTCTACCGAGTTACGTGGGCGGACCTGGCCCCCTTTTTCATCAACAGACCCGATCTTCTCTCCCCAGTTTAGATTAGAATCCTCGTGAACCCCCTTCCCCATCTTTCCTTCAAGGGGGTGTAAAGGCTCGGTTTACGGGGATCCCCGATGTCTTTTCTCTTTTATCATCCCTCGGGGGAACCATGGGCTATTTTGTCCCCTGCTGGCTTATTTAAACTCACATTCAACTCCCGCCCGAGCCGGTATCTCAAAATATCCCTGGTCAGTTTAATCCTACTCCTACGAAGTACATGAATATATCTCACCTCGTCTGCCCAACGTTGCATTTCTGCCCCAGTAAGAGCGGGAAGATCGGGAAAGGTGGAAGTAGAAAAACACTGGCCCTCCAAGCTGAGAATTTTCGTGAGCCAACATGTTTATTTTGATCGACCGCTAATTTCCGTCACTTATATTATTATTATTTTTACTATACGCGAAAGAAGAAGAAGAAAAAGGAAAATAATAACATCTCCTTCTTCGGTTAATGGCCCCAAAAGAGACCGCCTGGGGGGCGGGGGGCACAAGGTCGACATACCGGGTCATGACCGAACCCTCCCCCCTGCTATAATATGCAGTATTAATGGGCGACAGGTTGCAATGTTGCACCCGACGCACCTCTTCTCCCTCGCAACACGCAGCGCGACCCAGAAAAGGGAAGGGATGGGGGCCAGTCTCACAGTTCCCCCCTCCCTCCCCTCTTTTTGCTTTTGCTCGTGTTGTCCGCGACGCCCAGCAAAGGCGGTCGAGCTTTGCTTGAGAAAGGGGGTTTCGGGCCCGACAGTTTGGTTTACCCTGGTTGAAAAGTGGGTGCTGGCAAATCAATAGTTTAGATCAATCGAAGAGTACCAAGTACCAAGGTACTTGTACATAGGAAGTACTCAAATCAATCGAACTTCGTCCTCTCATGTCGGACTGTTTTCCTCTTTCCAGGTTTTCAGTTTATTACTGTTTAACATTGAAGTGTCCAAATCTTGATCCTTCTAATATCACTGCACCCATAAATAACATCAGCATTGGCTTCCAAAGCTGGAGATACAAAATCCAACTCATGTATATTCATCCATGTAAATTTCGTGTGCCACAAACGTCCAAGCATGATCTGAAGTCCTCTCTTTGCTGCATGGTGATGACGTCCTGTACTACTCTTGTCCTATGGTGCCTTCCTAATGCAAACTTGATGTTGTACGAAGTACCGAGGTAGTACTTTGTAATTGGACTCGCGTTTTTCGAGGCCAACCGAACCCGCCGTTCACTCCTGCACCTTCGCTCTTTCTCGTGCCGTCGTACTGCCGTGCTCAGCCCTCATACAGCTACCTGTTTTGGACTCGGACAATATATTGGCTGGGATTATTATATATCGCCGTATCACCGAGGTCCGGTAGTACGACATACGTGTCCGTGTTAAGGGAGACGAAGCTGCATCGCATCTGGGAGTATTTTCGTTTGGGGGGAATAATTCCGCAGACGCACCCCATCTACGACTTCCAAGGCCTGCCCAAACAGGGAACAATTTCAGTTTCCAAAAGTTCGCGGTTCGAAAACGACTAAGATGAACCCAAGGAACAGGCCTCACGATGTAACCTCCATAAAATGAAATGGCCACCATCATCCACGAAGGTCAGAAATGAAACGAAATCATATGCCGCCTGCGCCTCCTTCCTTTGCCCCTCGAACCAGCTGATCGGTTGGCATCCGGGGGCTGACCCGTGTCCCCCGGCCATTCTCGTTCTCCGGCAAGAACAAGTAGCGTAAGAACGTGGATGCAACCCAACCCTCCTTCATCCCCAGAACCCCCTCGCGGACCCGCCAGGTCACTCTGCCTAACCCAGAGAGTTGGTAACCGCAAATACCGCCAAGGAGGTCGACTGTGGGTGGTGCTACACCTGGCAAAGTGGACACGAAAGTGCCAACAACATTCAACCGACCATCACATCCATTAGTCCCGAGTGACACCTGACACGTTTTCCAGCCATACGGCCTCCACGCTAGGCCTATCGATTCTTTGTCCTCCCCCCCCCCCCCCCCAAAAAAAAACCACTTCGTGTTCTTCTCTGTTACTCACTGACGAGCGTGTTGGTCGGAACTGTAGGCCTACAGCTAAGATCGATGAATGCAGGTCGATGAATGCGGCAGAGATGGCTTAACCTCTGGTGGCCTGCTAAAACCCGATGTCGCGCTTGGCCGACTGGTTTTCGGGGTTACTAGGTTGGCCAGCGCCTTTTTTTTTTCGGAGAAGTACTTTTTTCGTTCTCACCCCTATCCCTCTAGGCAGTTCTATCCCGGCGTCTTTTCTGAGTTGGCTGGGCATGAATCAGTCCATCTTCACAGCCTAGATCAACAAGGTTTCCGGAGCTTCTCAACCTGCTCCGCTAACAGTCGCCCAGGGTTTATCGCTGGCCCAATAAGACCGATGATCCATACCTAACACAGCTGGCTTCTGACACCATTACACCGTCTATTACGCGACCCGGAATACTGACATTTCCCCACCATGTCCTCTTCCTGAGAAACCCCCCCCCCCCTTTTTACCAAAAAAGCTCGAGGGTCACCCAATAATGGTCTATCGACAGGTCGGCGGAGATGGTTAGCCCTGATGCCAAGTCCTGTGATTAACTTCGCTCCATAAGTAGTAATTGCCGCAGCGTAGATTTGGTGGTGGTGCGAGGCATTATTGTCCAGATTCGACTTTGGTATTCGAGCAGCGCTATGTGCCGCGGGCGATTCGGCGAATTCCAAGGCAAAGAGATGGTGTGGCACTAAATCCGGCACGGCCGCCATCATGGGATATCTTTTGTAATAACAGAGGATTATTTTCTTGTATGGTGTGACCGGGAAGCCGCTTTAATGAGGTTCAGTCCAAATCATGTTCCAATGCATCCTCATGCACCTCTAGCTTGGTTCGAATCTTACCCTATCAATCTGTGCGACCAATGCGTGGAACAGCCCGCCCTCCAACAACGAATCCTTCTGGACGGATCGGGACCCCAAGAATGACTGAGGGGGCACAAGAACTATTAAGCGCCCACCCAGTCGAGAGTCCAATAGCGCCTGACGCTCGATGAGGTACAGTGACAGGAAGCAGGTTCTCTTTGACCTCCTCTGCGTCCGGATGAAAAGTTGGGTGTCCCACATGGATAAGCGACCATCAGACCATGGTGACATGGTCCGTCACCGCCAGATTGGGGCCTTGAAGGAGACTATCCAGATAAGTGCTAGCCACCTTCATCCATTGAGGTCGGGATGCATAACCAGGGTTCTGAATTCTGAATGGCTGAAGTGTGCCCGAGAACATCCCTGCGTGAGGAGCATCTTGGCTGTCCGACCAGTTAGCATTGAGGAGTAAATTGATGGTACCGTTGGTCGAGAGCGTGCAGCTCTAGCATCATGGTGGGATTATTGTCGGCTGTCATCCACCCTATTCTTAGTGGCGACCCTCGCTAAAGTCGCTTATGTTCGTCGTCCCATGCAGTTGATGCTGTTCGATCGACTCAAAAGCAAGTCATCCGTTGACCGACTTAAGTTACAAGGAGAGCTTTGGCTTCCCCGACCCTCCCTAGATATCCGAAAAGGGTTGGGGGTATATTAATTAATGCCTATTGCGATGTAACGATTGATTACTGCGCTCAGATGGAAAATGGAAAATGGAAAATGGTGTGCAAGACTTGGCAGGATTGATGCTGGAAGACAAGTAGTTATACTTCCTGGCTGCACTGGTCCCGACAGACTGGGTCAGGCTATTCCTCTTCAGAGTCCTTCCAATAAAACGACCCGGCTCGCTAAAGTGGCGGCTGCAGGATTCAAACCACATGCGCAATTCGAAGGAAGGAACCCAGAGCCATTTACTGGAAATGGGGGGAAGGATTTTTCTGCGTTCTGTCTATGGGACACAAACCTCGGCTTTACTTGTAATGTACGAAGTGGCCTCGTACAGTCGAGTGTCCTCCTGTACTCTGATCTTCGGGGATATATCAAATATATTTTCCTGCTCTCGCTACTTTGTCGCGGATTTTGACGGGCGTCGGTGTTGTATATCAGACATCATCTCCACTGACGGATGACAGTTGCTGCCAAGGTTTATGCCGAACGTTATTCCCTGCAAAGTACACTGGGAGAAGGGAACATTGAAGGGAAGAAGACGGTGTAATTGAGATCAATTATAGTGACGGCAAAAGTCC